CGGACACTGCTTTCACAAAGTCACCGGGAGCAATGCTGCCCGTTCCCACCCAAGCTCCCTCTGCTAAAGCATTATGTCCTGGGCCTGCCATCAGGACACTGTGCTCTGCTTCTGTACCTGTTGTGTGGTTCCTAGCTCACCCTCCAGCAGGTTTCCAGAGGCTGTAAATCGCATGGGGGGGAGAATGCCCATCTTTCTCCTGCAGAGCACCTGGTGGGTTCCAGCTGCCCACCTCTGCTTAGACAGCTCAGCTCCACGCTCACCGGGCGGCCCAGCCCCTGCATGACCTCGTTTGCGATGAGGCTTCCTGCCTCCATGTCTGTACTTAAAGCGGATCGGCTCCTGGGCTGCTTGGTTCGGTGGCCTCCCCTCCCTCCCTGGGTGGCCTCCCTTTGTGGATGCTAACAGCGTTCCACCAGATGCGATACTCGCAGGAAGCTGCGGGTCTGTCCATTTGTGAACACTTTGTCCCGGGGGTCCCAGCCTCACTCACGTTAATGACGAGTGACCCGGCTGTGTGTGCTCTGTGTAGAGATCCCGGAGGACCCACTGGTGGCTGAGGAGTACTATGCCGAGGGGTTTGACTCCTGCTCTGAAGACGGTGAGGAAGAACTGGGGCTGTCGGGGTCCGAGGAGGACGGCCAGGATGCGGGGCTGCAGGCCGCTCGCGGAACAAGCTGGCAGGTACGCAGGGCACCTCAGGGGCCGGAGCACAGAGTTTCTCTGCTAACATCAAGACGGCTGGTTCAAATCCACCAGCTGCGCCGGGGAGAAAGCTGGGCCTTCTCCCCCGTTTGGTTTACAACCTCTGTAAACCCGCTGCAGGGTGCACTTGGGCAGGTTCCAGCCGGACGACAGAGAGCTTTGAGACTAGAAGTAGAGGGATTGGCCGGGCTCTGGTCTGCTAGAAGCTCGAGAGAGAGTCGTGGAATGTGGACGGAGAGATGGAGGTTTGGGGTCGGCAGTACTGGTTCTGGAGTCTTCCCTGGGACAAGCGTTGATTTCCAAGGTCCAGGAGAAGGTGCGGCCCTCTGCGGTCACACTGGTGAGGAGAGAAGGGCAGCGTCAAGCCTGTGAGCCGGTGTCTGGAGGAGGGTTCCCTGGGGGAGCGGAGATAGGCCCTGACGAGCCGGCTGTGGGATTCTGAAAGCGTTCCGCTCAGACATCTGGCTGTGGGCTGGGCCCTCTAAACGTGCTTGGACTTTCTCCTAGGATCCTTATGGCTTTACTCCAGGTCTCTGACCCACCTGGAGTTAATATTTGTGGATAGCGTGAGTTTTCTTTTTCAATTTTCATCCACCTTCAGGTAGATGGCCATCTTTACCAGCCCCATTTGTTGAAGAGGTTGTCATGTCCCTATTTAATAGGTTGGATTCCTTATCAAATGCCAAATGACTATAGGTAGTGTCTGGATTGTATTCTGTTGGTGCATGTGTCTGTTAATGTATCTGTGCCATGCTGTTTTGGTTACCACAGATGTATAGCAGGTTTTGAGATAAAGAAGTGCTCCCACTTCATTTTTATTTTTTAGAAAAGCTTGGCATATTTGGGGTCTCCTTCCCAAATAAACTTGTCAGCTGACTTTTCCATCTCTTTGCACTGGAATTACATTGAACATAAAGATTGCTTTTGGTGGGATTGTCGTTTTCACAATGTTCAGTCTTCCTATCCATGAACAGGGAACACTTTCCATTTAATTCTCTCTCTTGCTATTTCTTACAGTAGTGTTTTCTTGTTTTCTTTAGTGTCTCTGGTTAAATTTATTCTCAAGTATTTCATCCTGTGGCCGGGGATGAAGCCCATAGGCCCTGGGTTTACGTGATGGGCTCTCCGGGCACTTCGGCTCTGAGGCCTGTCCTTACGTGAATGTCACGCAGAGGTCAGGGTGTGAACACACGCCGCCTTTGTGTTGTCGAGTGTTTGTGGGAGAGCAGACAGACGGGCGGTGTGAGGGGAGAGCAGACAGACGGGCGGTGTGAGGGGAGAGCAGACAGACGGACGGTGTGAGGGGAGAGCAGATGCTCTGCGTCATTTCACGCATCCCTGCCGCCTCCCTCCTCCACGTGATCACCTCGAACACTCAGCGTCCTCAGGTCGAGAGGCCGTTCCGAAAGTGGGAGCCGGGGAGCCACTGCCTTAACAGTCAGCCGCATCTGAGTTCACGACGACTTCAGTGGGGCTGTGATTTGGGGGAGGAGCGAGGTTGTACGTAATCCTCTCAGCCGTTGTTGATGGAGGCTCTCCAGGGCATCGCGGTGGTCAGTCGGTCAGCCATCACGGGTTCTCAATGAGAGCGAGGCAGGCAGAAGGGAATCAATGGGATACGAGAATGGACCTAGACACAGACGAGGTGGGGCAAGGAGGAGAGAAAAAACGGGGGCCAGCGAGAAGGCAAGACAAGGACAGTCTGAAAGATAAATTCATGTAGAGAAAAATTCAGGGTGACTGCAGGCTGATCGGACACAGCAACGTGAACCCACAGCCCCGTACACTGTTTCCTCAAAGGCTTCTGGGGCCGTGTGACTGACCGTCTCATTTCCTGTGGCTCCGGACGCTGTTGTGAAAATTGAGACAAGTCGCGTCATACGCTGTGGTTGGAAATCGGAGCCCTGGATGGGGAGCCCTCATCTCAGATCCTCTGGACATGTTAGGAGGGGTCAGTTCTTGGGAGAAGACTTGATGCTGGAAGGTGGCGGGTCAGAGAGTAGGAGGAAGACCTTCAATGAGACGGATTGACACGGTGGCCGTAACTGTGGGCCCAGCGTGTCGGATGGTGAGGATGGCAGGGACAGGGCGAGGTCAGATCTGCTGCTGATTGGACCACAGTGAGTCGTCGCAGACGCGGTGCAGATAACAAGGACATCCTCACTTGACAGTGGAGGGAACGGAGGTTGGTGGAAGCTCTTCCCTGCTCCCCATGATGGTGCACTTTGACCTTAGGGAGCCTGCCGTCCGCCTGGAGCCCACAGAGCTGGTGCTGCCCCGCTGTCTGACCTCCACGCTCATCGCAGGAGAGACGTGCACACATGTGCATTCGCCCAGTTCTGGGCGCGGAAAGGACCCAGGAGGGGGCTCTGTTTTCCGTCTGTTATCTTTTGCTGTGGGATAAAGACCCCAGAGTGGAGTGGCTCGGAACATCTGGTTCTGTGCGTCGTCTGGCCTCATGGCAGTTTTGAGGATGTTATTCAAGTCGCTCACGTGTCCGCGTTCAGCTAGAAGCTTCGTCCTAGCTTGGTCATCATGGCCTCACTTCCCTGTCTGTCAGAGGCGCTGGCTGGTGGCTGGGCACCGTCACTGGGACTGGCCTCTGTGGCCTCTCAGACCCCAGAGCCTGTCACCGTGAGCCCTTTCCAGTGGGCTCGCCTGGACCTTCCATGGTTCAAGAGAATGAAGTGGAAGCTCCAGCACTTCCTCAAGCCTCATTAGCATAATGCCACCATTGTCACGTCCTGTCGGTCAGAGCAGGTTATGACACAGGGACAGCTTGGTCTCAGCGTCGTTGGTAAGAGAGCCTCCAGCCTTCGCCATGAGGAATGACACAGGAGGAGCGGGGAGGAGGGGGTTGTAAGCGTCTGTGTAAACCATCCCCTGCGCTCACTGACTCTTCAGTCGGAGAATGCGGTGTCGAGCTGGAAGACATGTGGTCATGTGATCCAGCCCTGTGCTTCACGTATGTAGACGCTGAGCCTGGTGTGTCGAGCGGCTGGTCCCAGGCCCCTGTGCCAGGAGGAGGCAGGCTTCGGCTGGGGCTCCCTGGTGGCCTCATTGCCTTCATGGGCAGAGATGCCCTCTGCGCTCGCTTCCTCCAGCCAAGGACCTCTCCGCTGGGGCCTCTCCCTCTGGTAGTTCCCACTCAGCGTCACACAGCAACTACGACAGGTGAGGCAGGAGAATGTGATGGGTCACCCCATGCGTCAGTTTCCACTGCTAGTGATCCTCCCAGACAGACAGCAGTGGCCCTGGACGATGTCCAGAGCTCTGGTCTTCACGGAAGGACACTGCCTCGTCTGTCTCCATTGGAGCAGCCTCTGGGTTTGAACTACTGACCTTCTGATTAGTAAATAAATGCTAAACCACTATGCTACCAGGGCCATTTCATTAACTGGTATATGGAGAGGTACACATGCGTGTAGATACAGAGGGTTTTTTTTTCATTATTTTTAAAAAAAATATACTACAAAATAATTTCATAACCAGATTTTTCAGTTTTAATTTTATTGCCTCACTGAAATATTTTCTGTGTCAGTGACTTTTGTTTGACCACTAAGTCACAGTAAATCTCTGTTCTTTTCGACAGGACAGTGATGTTGAAGCCCTGGTCAAGTGCTTGGAAAATGTCCTTGGCTGCACCTCTCTCGGTAAGTAACTTTCTTCATGTTCCAAAAACAGTTTCCAAAGGACCTCATTCTAAGTGAACTAAGTCAGTCCCAACAGGAAAGGCACTGTGTAAGACCACGGGGAAAGCTGCGGAAAGGTTTACGTGCAGAACGGCTCTTGGATGGATGCGGGGTGGGGAGGGGAGGGAGAGCAGAGAGGACATTTGTAAACATAGCACTGAGTTCCATTGAGTGCGCTCCTGAGGGCCCTCCGTCAGCTCCGGAGGCTGTAAATCACAGTGGGACGAGACTGCCCATCTTTCTCCCTCGGAGCTGCTAGTGGATTTCAGCAGCCGGAGACAGAGTGACTCCCTGGGGACTCAGCCTCCCTGGGGACTCAGCCCCAGGGCTCCCCTCAGCAGGACACAGACGTGTGGAGATGGGTGAGGAGAACAGCTGTATCCAATCCGAGAGTGATCAGATGCACAGAGGTAGAGAAAGATCCATGAGAATCCGAAGTTCAGAGAGCAGATGGGAAAGTGGGATCTCACTGGGGCTGGTAAATGACAGGCAGCTCTGGTGGCCTAGTGTGTGACGAGCTGTACTGCCAACCCAAAGGCACATGGTTCGAATCCACCAGCTGCTCCTTGGGAGAAAGATAAACAGTCTCCTCCTTGTAATTGGCAGCCTCTGAAAACTGGCTGGAGGGTCAGAGAGGAGCCCGTTCCAACTTCACGGTATATAACATAACATTAATATTCATGTCACTGAACAAAATATGTATGAGTGGCTGAATGGCAAATTAATTTGCATTCTCTTCACTTCAATCACAATAACTTCTTTAAAAAAAACATATAACTCCACACCTGTGATCAGAGAACTGGACAGTGACTAAGGATGACGGATGAAGAATTGGGAGCTTTGAGCTGTGGTGTTGGAGAAGAGCACTGAACATCTCACAGACTGACAGAAGGACAGACAGAAGTGTTTCGGCAAGTGTGCAGGCAGAGTGCTCCTTGGGGGCACTTTGATATTTTGGACATGTCACTGGACGAGGCTTTTCCTTGGAAAGGGACATCATGCTTGGAAAGATGGACGATCAGCGAAGGAGAGGAAAAGCCCGGACGAGATGGATTGACATGCGTCAGAGATGAGAAGGACGGTGCAGGACAGGCAGGGTGCAGGCCAGCTGTTCATAGGGTTGCAGTGAGTCGTACTCAATGGCACCTAACAGCAACAACAACTGATTCTGTTGGGATACCCAAGAAGTAGAACATCTGACAACAGTCTTCTAGCTATTTATGTCAAGCTCCTTGTTTTACAGACAAGGAAACTGAAGTCAGCTAAGTGCCAGTAAACTAAAAAAAAGAACAATTGTTTTAAATTGTTATTCTTTTGATTGGAACACTTGCAAGTGCTTGCTGATCTCCAGGGATGCTGTGGTTGGAATTCCTGTCCCGTGTGGTGGGATGGCTGCGTGGCGGGCGTGCGAGTCCTGCAAGGGGAGCCTCCTCACTCCTCATCTGGGGGGAGCCTCCTCACTCCTCATCTGGTGGGAACAGCTTGTGCTCAGCCATGCTGAGAGGACCACCGCCGTGCAGGTCAGCAGTGACTGGAGGAGGGAGCTCTGGCTTGGAAAAGCTCAGCTCACGTTCCTCTGTCACTGTCAGTCTCAAGAAATCGGATCGCCATGCTTCAGAGATGAAACCTATTTCTTAGTTTCTTCTCTTTTTTTTTTTTTTTTCGAAAGCCCCACTGTGACAGCTTCCAGCAGATGATAAATTGTCACAGCTGACAGGGATGGAATATTGGAGGGTAGTCTCATGGGTCCAGAGGGAAAATTTTTTATTTCTCCCTTAGAAATTTGATTTTGAGCTACTTTTATTATTTTAATTGCACAACCAGAAGCAGTCTCTTTAAAGGGACAGGAAAGTAGAGATAGACAGTTAAATGAGCATAGTGTGGCCCCAGATCGGTGTGTAAGGATTACTGCTTAAAAGTCATTTCCACTCAGAATTTATTAGTGTTCCAGTGTGTAGTGTGAGCAAAACAATACTGAAATAAACAAGTAAAAAATGCATTTCTCAAAACCACCTGGCACTTGCTGGTGAGCTGAAAACGCAGACACCTTCCTCGTAGACCCCTCCGTCCCCTCTGGGCTGGGATGTGTGTGCACTGGGCGGTCTGCAGGAAGCACAGAAGTTACCAGCTTCCTGGTACCAGCATTCTGTTTCTGCCTCAGTCTTGGCATCTGCATCAGAAATGTAAGGCGGATGGTTGGGTGTAAAGTTTCTCTTAGAGGTTGTCGTCATTATTAAGGTCTGTTGGGTCGGCTGGGAGTCATCAGGACCTTTTAAGCAGTGGCTCTGAACCTCGCGTTATCCCGAGCAAACCTCCCTGGCTCCGACTTGACACAGTCACAGTGTCGATCCATTGTGTTCTCAGAGTCCAACAGCCTGCCATGCGTGGTGTCTCTTTTTCAACAACTGTGTGATGAGAGAATGGAAAGGTGGCGGGCAGATGGGGGGAGTATCCTCCTAAGAGCACCAGGCAGCATGAAGGCGCAGACGTGGGAAGGCACTCAGTGCACTCCCGGAACTGTCAGAAGGTTGGCTTTTCAGGACCGTGAGGTGTGAGAAGGGATGACGCCCGTGGAGGGAGGGGTCGGGCCGCGGTGGCATCTGAACGTGACCTGCGGGACAGGTCACCACTGGTTTCTCAGTTTGGTGCAGAAGGGTCCCCTTCAACAAGCAGTGATAAAGCGTACTTCAGAAGAAGTGGCTTGAGATCAGGAACCAGTTCAGAGCTATGATTACACAGACAGGGATGGTGTTGCTATAGTAACCGTTCGGGCCCTCTGCTATTTGGCCACAAGGACAGAAGGTGAAATGTCTCCGTTTCCATTGAACATCTTAAGATGCTCTCTCTCTCTCTCCATCTCTAAGTAACCAAATTCTGAACCAAATGATGAAGCTAACCTTGCATGGTTAGGGGATTAGCTGTCCTTCTGTAGAGACCACAGAGAGTGAAGCTGCAAGGCCTTGGGAAACTGTATGCAGACAGACACTTTGTAGATCCAAACAAGATGCTGTCACGGAGGCCGTTAGCACGTTACAGATGCCCTCAGCCTCTTGTCCCCCTAAGATCCCTTTAGTCTGTTGATATGTCTGGTCAGTTGGCTTTTGAAAACCGAGCCTTGGTAATGACTGTTTAATCTCTCCAGAACGATGTGACTGAAACAGACCAGACGCACCAACTTGCTTAAGCTCTTCAGACTCGAGGCCTCAAGTGTAGGGAGGACTGACAGCTCTCCAACACCCTTCACCATGGCAGGAAAGAATTCCTTGGCATAATTAGAGCACCTTCATCACGACATCGAAAACATTATCATTTGTCCAGAGGAGGGGACATGTTGGGCCCTAAACCCCTCGGGTCAGAGACGTGGAGGCTCAGTGTCTGTTCACCACCATCACTTCTACTAACGGCTGAGAGCACTGTCTAAGTCGGAAGCTGAAGTGAATGCCACAGACCCAGGATTAGCCACGCTTTATGGAGAGCCTGCTGCGATGCCAGACATCTTCACTTGGCAGATGTGTGGTGACGGGCCAGCAGCAGGGATACAGATTGTAAACAGATCCCCACAGCACTAGCATTCATTGTTATCAGCAGCGTGTACCTGCCCCCACGAAGGAGTTCCGCTGACCGTCCACGTCCGACCAGTGGAGGAACTTACCTTTCATCATTCATTCCCTCCTGCATCCACACACCAGAGCTTAGCTGAGGTGGACATGCTTACAGAAGGTTTTCTGTTAGAACTAGGGTTCTGAGGTGTGAGACCTGGACCCCTGCACTTGAGGACTGGGATTTTACCAGGGAACCAGGCAGAGAGCCCATGTAACTGCAAAGGAGCAGGGAGTATTGAAAGAAGAGGAGATCGCGGTTGGGGAGGGGAATGAAGGCAGGAGTGCTTTAAGGAAAGCCAGCATGTGAGGCTGTTCCTGATACCAGGGTAGATTTGGCCTCATTGAGGAAATGAAGGAGGCTGTGTAGGTGGAAGGGAGCACATGAGGAGGACAGACAGACAGACAGGGGCAGACAGACCTTGTTTCGGAAAGTCAGAGGTTCTGGTTAGTGTTACCTGTAAATAATATGTGACAGATTGCATTGACAGGATGAGAATCTCAGAGTAATTTCTCGAACTCAGATGAAACCTATACACATGGGCCACAAGCAGTGGTCTGAACAGAACGAGAGCACAGTGCATGCTTTGAAATCAGAAAAGGGGTACATCAGGGCTGTATCCTTTCTCCATCCCTGTTCAGTCTGAGCAAATCACTCGAGAGAAGTTGGACCATATGAAGAAGAATGTGGTATCAGCACTCCAGGAAGACTCATCAACAACCTGTGTTCTGCAGATGCCACAGCCTTCCTTGCAGAAGGAGAACTTGAAGCACTTACCGCAGAAGAGCAGACACTACAGCCTTCAATATGGGTTACATCTCAACACCAGGAAAACAAAAATCCTCTCCACTGGACTGGCCGGCAACATCATGAGAGTTAGAGGGAAGAGGGACGTTGTCAGTTATCCCATTTAACTTGAATCAGCAATCAACACGCATCGTAGCAGCAGTCAAGAAGTCAAGAGCCATGTTACACTGGAAAATCTGCTGTCAATATCTCTTTAAAGGTCTGAAGAATAAAGTTTAAAGATGAAGGTGCACCTAATCCAAGCCACAGTATTTTCAATTTGTATGTGTCAAAAAGTTGGAAAAGCAAAGATCAGTGCCTTTGAACTGTGATGTTGAGCAAAAATACTGAGTATCTATGGATGGCCAAAAGAATAAAGTATGGCCAGGGTACCTTAGAGGTGGTGGTGTTGTTGTCAGGCACCATGAGTCAAGCACGACTCAGCAACCTCTGAACAACAGATCTGAACCCTGTTCTATCCTGTGCCATCTCACACTTCCTGACACACTAGAGTCCTTGGGGCAGTCACCATGTCACTTCACCTGGTTGAAGGTCTTCTCCTTCGCCGACCCTCC